GACATTTTGGTAGCATGATGTTTCTACTTACTCACTCAAAGCAACTTGCAATCATCACTTTTGCAGACCTTGAAATTTTCAACCCGTGTAGGTGACACCGTGAGCCATCCTCATGCTTCAGCCAATCAATAAACAGTGAAAAAGAGATCATCTGCTCAATCTCTCTATTCAGCCATGGTTGTATGCCAATCACTGGTTGCCAATAAGCACTGGGCTCAAGTAGTAGGGTGTATAAATGCAGGAGACAGGGTGAAGCAAGAGTTTCTGCCAAGGGAAAAATAGTCTGCCCACAAAGGTCCAGCCCTGAACAGGGGGGGGGGGCAACAGATTTGCACTGCTCTTAGATCAGTGTTTCTCAACCTTGACCATTTTAAGGCATGTGGACTTCAACTCCCAGAATTCCACAGCCAGCAATGCTGGCTGTGGAATTCTGGGAGTTGAAGTCCACATGCCTTAAAATGGTCAAGGTTGAGAAACACTGTCTTAGATAAACTGGAACTGGAGTAGAAATATGTTGAGTTAGCTTCCTTATCCAGCCAATGTTGATAGATCACTCAGGTTTGGAGCTGCTCCTGAACTGCTGAAAATTCCTGCTGGCATGATATCCATGGAATGTCAGTTTTAGAAAGTAAACATGTTAGGACTGTTCTCTAAATGTTTTTTTTACAGTTCTGAGCAAGCTGTGAGAACTGCAGAGGTATCCATGTCTAATTATATTGAAGAGACTCCTTCAGACCTCTTTTGTGTAGGTGCAAAGAACACACACATTGATTATATTGAACAAAGAAATAAAGTGGTTAGTGTGATAGAAGTAAACCCAGGCAATTAAAGAACATGTAGAGTTTATGGGCTGAGTTGATTAGTTTTATTTGATTTTCTGATCACTGTGAACCATTTAGGATTGTCTTATATAAGATAGGTAGCCATAAAAATTTCTAAATAAATAAATATACAAACTTTCTTTACAGACTTCTCAAAATGTTAACAGTTTTACTGTGTAGTTTTATTCATCCCTTCGCTTGGATTTCTCCCATTATTGAAACTAATTGCTGTCATACAAATAATTCTCATAAGTTAAATATAAATCATTTACATATTAAAAATATTTGATAAACTATAGAAAGTATATAAAATTTTAACTATGGTAAACTTTAAAACAGTATAGTTATAATAACCATGCACATTAATTCAGTTATGTAATCTTTCAGGTTTCTTAAAATTTGCTAAACAACAAATCAAAGTTACAGTTTTAGTTGTAACTCTCTGATCATTTACTGCATTGTTACTGCTCTAAGTGCTTTTTGAAGTCATAGCTAAAGCAAGAGCCTACTCTGTTTGAAAATCTTAATTTATTAAGGGGAAAATCTAAGAACCTTTAAGGGAGGTATATAGGCTAAGTATAATGCAATTAATAGTAGTCATTTGAGTCTTCATTTTTTTTAACCATTAACAGAAAATGCATTAGCTCAACATTTTACATACTGTACAGCAATAAAAATAGAATTATACATATATTTAATAAATTATTCTACACGTAAAGGTTACATTTCATGTCCCACAGTCAACTCCTTTGTCAAAGTATTAAGTATTGAAAGTACAATGAAATGTTTTCCCTTCAACCTGGAATTAAAACCAACGGGATTCATTATATAAAACAATTTTATTAAACAGAAAAATAAAAATGTATTCCCTCACTAAATCATTATCGAATTCCAGTGCTATTAATGGGAGAAAAATCCTTTCACTTCAGTAAAGATATTCTAACCGATGGTGCCCAAAGCTACATATAATATTCTCAGGCAGCTGCATGAGGACGACTTTCAATGAAAGGACTGCAACCGCTTCCATTAAAATGAGTTTTTCTTCTCAGAGAACAGCCTATAAAATAAAATAAAAAAGATCCCACCCTTGATGGGGAAAAACACATACGCACACACCATAACCAATTATGAATGGAAAACATCTTGGCCTTCATAAAATCCCAAATAAAAGATATCTTTATTTTTTCTGGCACTTCTTTTCAATAATCTCAGGAAGCAATATATTTCTAAATGCAGTCTCCTTAATTACTGCCATTTCCTTGGGATCAGTACAGCAGTGTTTGCCATTGTCTTCCTTCCGGGATGTTTTCAAGGCTCCTCAATCTAGCCTGTAGTCCTGGGTGATTTTAGTGGACCTCCATCCAAGTATTTAGTCAGTCCAATCCTGCTTAGCTTTCCAATATCGATAAGAATTTTCATGAAAAGAATTTCAAGATATTGAATCCAGGCTCGAGTCATGCTTATCAAAGCTGAAAATTATAATATTTACATATTGGCTGATAAATAAAAATGGTGACATATGTTGTTAAGGATATATTTTTAAAAAGTATAGATGTAAATTTAATTTTTCAATTGCTTGATTATATTTATTCAGTATTTATGGATTTATTCACTAGAGTGAAAAGAAAATGATCAATCCACACTTTGGCATACATCCTAAATGTATATAATTTAGTTTTATGCTTAACTGTATCATTATGTTTACCACAATTCTAAAAAATTCTTTGAAAATTATAACTTATTTAAAAGTGCTATTAGGTGTCTCTTGTCCACTTGATTCTTCTAATGTATAAGATTACGTGGTAAATATCAATACAAAATTTATATTTTAATTTCTTTTCTCAATAACAAAATGCTGCATTAAGATATGCAGTACTCTGAAAATATTATTCATTTCTTTTAATAACTATACATTTATCCATAGTTACATGTCCAAAGAATATGACAGAATAAAAAAGAATCCAACTTTGTGACTCTAGGCTTGGACTACACAATACAACATTCTTTTTGATTTGGATATAGAAATGTTATAAAAGGAAATAATGTTATCTTACTAAATATTTGTAAAAAGAAAGATGACCAAAGCCAGTTGTTCTATAACACTAAAAAAATATTTGTTAAATTTTCCTAATAATATCAAATATTCAGTAGGCTACAGTGACAACTGTAAAAGAACAATAGTTTTTTTTCTTTACCTATCCTTTATTTTCTAATTTTGTTATAGAAGAATTTTGGAGAACAACCTTTTATTATTTTAAAAAAGGATGATTTCAAGAAAAAATAACGCGCATTTGTGCTAACCCAAATTCGCCATTCATGCTTCAGAGATAAAAATATAAGCATGCATACATATATTTAAATTCCCATTCAAAATAGCTGTTTCCTCCCCCCTCAGTTTTACCTTGATCTGGCAGAACATTTGATTTGTGTTATCACATACTTTTTTAGAGGTTCACATGTAGAGCTGAAATAGCAAAAAAGAAACAAAGTACTCAAGAACATAATTAAACATATATAACTTAAGAAATGATGCTAAAAGAAATTATTTCATTTAGAAGGAAAAATGAACGTTAAACAGACTTCCGGAAGAAATGCAGCTGCTTGTAAAAAAAAAACCAACAGTGAAATAAATACAGTGGTTAATACTTTGGTTTTAGAATGTATTAACTTTTATCACAGCAGTTCAGCTGTGAATTTCTTTCTGATAATACTTACTTTGTATACCATATGTATTGGTACATGTGCACAAGAACAGGCATGTACCGTATTACACATGTGTGCAGCAAAGTCTCTCTATATTTACAATAAAGAAATATAAAACAATAAATAACCAAAGCAATGGCCTATTTTTTTTTCTGCGATATGAGGTACCCCAAAATAAAATTACAGGATTTACTCAAATTGTAGCCATTTAACTAAATGCTGCAACATTATACAAATTCACCAAGTGATTTTCATGATTAAAACAATGTACAATTCAGTGTAATTGAATCTAAACTGATTTACAGTAGTGGAATCTAATCTATTGGAATTCCAAAAGATGTTGGACTTAACTAATAATAATTCTACTAAGCATTCTTAAATAGTTTATACTAAGATGTTAACTGTTACTGTTATCCTTAGAAATTCTTAATATGTTAGATTATGTTATTACAAACTAAAGGAGAAAGCATGTCTTATAAGAGGAGAGGTTCATTTTATTCTTATACATACATAATTAGATGATCATGAGAATTTACATTTCACCTGCAGTAAATGTAATATAGTTGAATTTGTTGAATTCATATATTCCCTTATTTTTATGGCCCTGTGGAGAAAGATGCTAATATGCATAAGTTAAGCAGACCTGTTTTTGTCAGAAGTAGTAAATTCTAAAATTATATTCCAAAGTAAGTTTTAAGCACCTTAATTCTCTCATTGGAAATCTTGAAACGATATAATTTCTTTAGACTTTTCATGTCTTACTGTTAAAGTGACAATCTGAATTTTATTTCCTGTACATTACCTTAAAATTCACAAAAAATGAAGCCTAAAGCTCAAAAATGAAGTTTTGAGACATATTCAACCATTGTGATATGAAGTTTTAAATAATTTTATGTTATGTACTACGTAATGCATTTTAAAAATATCCATCAATCGCGAGACCAATTTACCATGAAGTGAGCTACTAAACTGTATGGATGTTGTATTAAATGAATGAGATCGTTTGGAGGTTTATAATAATTTGTCAATATTGTATGAACCATATTGTAAATAATAGATATTAGGGTCACTGGTTGATGTGCGCATTTCTTTTGATCCAAACTGAAAAATTCTATTACAGAGCTTTCATTGGGAAATCCTAAAAACTAGTCTATCAGATTAAGGGCTATTTATAAGTTGTGGCAGGAATAAGCTCATCTATTAAAGAAAAATGAATCTACTGATATAATTTGCACGCACATGATTTGGAATAGCCATTATTTTAGTTTTCTAGATGCGTCACTAACAGTAATTTCTTCAAACTGCCACTTTTTTCCCTTTGACCCATTCTTATTTTCACATTAACATTAATTAGGCTTAGATGCAGAATTTAAATTTGGGCTTAGAAGTTTTTGCTTCCATAAAACTCAGAATATTACTTACCATAGCTTTCTATTTAGGAACCTGTAGGAAAAAGAAATAGTTGCCATGATCAGGTTTTTTTTTTTTTTTTAGAAATACAGCATTGGCAGCATTTGCCTAATGGATACCATTTTTGCTTGAGATTCATTTCAAACTGCAAGTCTATTCCATACAGCAAGAGGAAACTGCACAAAAAGATTAAGTATGTACAATATTTTACTTTTTTTTCTTTTAAAAAGGGGAGAAGACAACTAAATGATTTCTCAGTATGTATAATTTATTGCAGTTAGCACACAATTTAAAAATTCACCAACACACCAATAGTACAAAACTAAACAGCATTATAAGTTATTCCCCTCCCCCTCATGAAAATAAAACATACTATGATTGTCAAGGCTAGATGTCAGTCTAATTTTTAGAACAAAAAAATAATAATAATGTGAAACTAAAGGGCAACCTAACAGCCCCCAACAATCACTCATGTCCACAAAAAATAAAAAAGCAAAAGTAGTCCATTTTTTTTCAGACACTGATTGTCTTTTCTAAATAAAAACAATGAATTTTTAAAACATAGAGACTGTTCAAGTAACTAAAAATAATGCTCCAAGGCCATTTTCACAGCTTTTTTTGTTTTAAATGCCATTACAGCCAAATTAATATACATTTGACCAAAATATTTCCAAAACATCCAGCAATACACAATGGAGTTTTCCATTCAGTTTCTTAAGCACAAAAATAGGCTATGTTTACAGTAGTTAAGGCGATCAAATTCTAAACAAAAGCAGAAAAAAAAACATTTTCCATGCTACTCTCATAGACCTTATTTGTAAGTGCAAGACAGGAAAACAAACACTGTGCAAAATGCTTTTGCCCTACGTGTTGATCATTAAAACCACACGTCAGGCTGCAGTCTTTGCTGTTTGGATACACAGTTCACAAACCCTCCCCCAACTTTTCTCCCACCATCTCCCCACCCTGTCCCATGTCAATCAAGGTTTTTAGTTCTTTTAGCCTGGGGCTTTTTCACTCCATAGAATCTTTTGAAGGGGCGAATAAAATGAACACCTATTGTTTATTTGTGCAGCAGGAATTCTAAAAATGCTCACATGGGTAAGTGTATGCATCTAAGGTTGGAGCTGGCATGGGTTTGTGCAATCAGTTTTTAAAATAAATGTTCACTGCACATGCAAATCTCTAAGTCTGTAAACATTACTATCTTCCTTTACATAGCTAAAATCAACATATAGCTTTTGTTCAACTTAAAGACAATGGGCAATTAATTTAAATTATATAAAATAAAAGCAGTGCATTTATGTTCTTCGTAACACCAGTTTTTTTTCCCTGGTGCTTTTTCTTACTAAAAATTAAATAAGTTTTTAAAATCACTCATTAAAGTTATACAATGCAAACAAAGACAAAAATATACTGAAATGCATGCATTTCTGTAGCATTAATATTTACTTTCCAAGACTCAACTTAGAGCATTAACACAACTTGTCAATTTCTTTGACACCCCCCAACCCTTTTAATCAATTACAGTATATAACAGTAATTCACATTTTAAATGCAGTTTGTAACTGCTGGAAATGCAACATCCTTTTTCATCCCAAGCACGCCTTCAGAGTCCCCGTGATTCCAGTGTATTTTCAAAAAAATTTTTTTTTTTAATTGGGAACTATTGTAGTTTACAAATTACAACATAATAACAATCACTTTTGAAAAATTGATACTCCAGTCTTTTAGAAATCATATCGCTTGGGTCTAAAAGCATTCAGGTTTCCCTGAGCTAGAAAAGATGCATGCAGTTTAAAAAATTTAACTAAAGTGATTAAAAAAACTGGAGATTACTGATTTAAGTGGCGATTGAAATGATGCAATATTGTAAATAATGTTAAATAGACTCTAACAATCACACTTGTTCAATTGCAGTTATTTTTAAAAGAAGTACTTACTTGGTGGGGAGACGGGGAAGATTTTATGAAGTTTATTTGTCTTATTTCTATAGTTCATTATCAGAACACTAAGTAGTGAAATGTTCATGCTGCTTTAAAGTGCATAAAACAAGCTAATGGCCAAACTTTGTTAGTTTAAGGAAACAAGACTGCTTTTAGACTGTACCACAACTATATAGATTTATTTATATATATATATATATATATATTAATTATATATATAAAATTCTATTTCCAAAGTTCTTGAGAGCTATCTTCTAATGTCCAGTCTCTGACAGTAGGTAAGCTCAGTGCTTCACTTTTGACAGACAAAGAGTTCACTAGTTCACAGTGAAACTTCCGAATGTGCCTGTAAAGGTCTCCAGATTGGGTGAACCTCCGCTCACACCACTTACAAGCGTGTGGCTTCTCCCGTGTGTGAACTACGGCATGGCGGCTCAGATTGTGGGAATACTGGAAGCTCTTTCCACACTGAGTACAAGTGTACGGTTTTTCACCTGAATGAGTCCTCTCATGACGTTTCAAAGTGTACATGCAAGAAAAAGTCTTACCACACAAGGAACAGGTTGGGACATTGACATCAGCGGCAGGCTTACTGCGGATCCCGTCCTGCTCTCGAAAGTGCGTACTTAAGTGAATCTGCAGGATGTGGGGACTAGGAAAGACTTTGTTGCAGAGGGGGCACATAAAAATTTGGCCTGCAGGGTTAAGTATGTTGGAGACATAAGGGAGCAGACTGCTGTCCATGCTCCCTTCCACCTGAACTCTCTCGTTCTCTGGAGTTATGATTTCATCATCACTGGCTTTGTCCTCTCTATCTAGCTCCCTCAAAACAGAATCGTCTCTCATAGGAGCCAGATGGGCTGGCTCATATGGTACCCTGTTATTAGTGCTCACACTTTCTTTCACAGTGCTATGCTCCATGTCATAGTCATTAGTGCCAACATCACTCTCATCACAGGATGCTTCTTTTTCCACCTTCACCTGCACCAAGTTGTTTCGCATCATATCCTGTGAAGAGAAATATGAATTGTTCAAATTCTCAACTCCAGAAAGGCTTGACTTCACAGACAAGTCCAGGACACAGTCAACATCTGTTGAATCCCTCATTGAGGTGACAGACCTCTGGGACAAAGACTCTGTTGAGCTGCAGGGGCTGGCTACTGTTTTTCCAGCTGCTGTTGCATGTGTGTCTGGTTCCCCACCACTCTGGGGAATCACTCCGGAGTCTGAAGGCAATCTCATCCACATGTTCCCAGGTTCAGCAGTTAAGTCCCTTTTGCTGGGTAGGATGCTCAGTTTTTCATCTTCCCCTTCCTCTTCATCACTGGGTATGTCTCCTGCAATGTGGCTACTGCCGTCAGAAAGGCTCTCCACTTTGTCCGAGCAACTTGAGGCATCTTCTTCCTTTTTAGTACTGTCTGCCTCAGTGGTGGCTTTTTCTTTTAGTTTCTTTTTACAAACTTTAACAATGTCGTACATGTGAAGATAACTGGCAGCTGCGAGCACATCTTCAATGGGCAAATCTTTGAATTGGAGTTTCCCTTCATACATGAATTCAAGTAGGAGAGCGAAAGCTGGGGCTGTAACAATGTCGCTGTTCAGATGAACAATGTCTCTTTTGTCCAGCTGGTCCTTGTAAAATAGGTGGAAATACATGCTGCATGAAGCCAGTACAGCTCTGTGTGCTCGAAATTGGGCATCTCCTACCAGAACAGTGCAGTCACAAAGAAAACCTTGATGCCTCTGTTCACTCAGACACTGTAGTAAATGCCTGCTGTGGTCAGGGAACTCCATGCTGTCTTCAGCATAACCTAGGAGCAAAAAGATTTAATTAAATACTGGAAATATTCATTGGCTTATACACTGCTACATTTGATAATTCGACAATGTGTACAAAGACCTGAAATAACACTCCGTAGAGAAATGGAAATAAAGATTTCATGACTTTTGGCTTTTCCAACATTCAGAATTCTATTAACAGTTCTGTTAACTGTAAAGAAATAGACTGGGAGTTGCATATGAGAATGAATATTCAGAACTTAAAAGTTACAACAGCCTTTTACTATTTGAATTCAGAAGCAGACATCTCTGATATAACTTGCTTCATCTTAGAAGGGGGCTAAAAACTAATCTTAACTGATTAAGATTACAATGCCTTCTAAAATGCCTTGGCACAGATCATCGTTGGCCTCAACTGTGAATGCCAGTTTTTCAATTTTCTAACAAAATAACTGATTATTAAAATCCCTCTTTAAAAATATACAAAAATGCAAACTCTTTGTAAAAAAGGCTTTAAAAAAAATTAAGACACTTCCTATGTTATTGCTGCATATCAGTTGAAACAATTTCAGCATAATTCACTAATCTTTTCCCCCTTTGGGGTCATTGTGTAACCATTCAAGATGAGCATTAGAGTTTTCTACATAAATACCTTAAATATCTTCTTTATTTCCTACTTCTTACAAGCGAAGTTGTGCTAAACTAGTTACATACAGCTGCTGCATCTTTGGGCATTATGTGTTCTTAAAGTTACACTCTTGTCCAAAGTATATTCTACTGCAGATAGAATAAAGCGAGAAGATTTACAATACAATCACTTTAAGTGCCCCACAGCCAACATCAATCCTAATCCTTAAGAGGGCTAAAAATAAAGATTGGAGGGCAGCTCACAAGGTAGCTGTGATCAAATTAGGAGGCTGAAAGGACAGAGAGGGACGAAGAAGGAAGCTTATAAACATCTGATCCAGCTGACTGTGGCCATATGGCAGCTGCTGCCCAGATAAAGAGATTAAGAATAGAGGAGTGCGATTACAGCTGTCTGGCCAATTCAGGCAGCTCAAATCTACAAGTTCTAAATTAGTCATGAAAACAAAACCCTTCTTTCAGTTATTGTTGTACTGGAATAAACTTTAATATATTTCCAGAAAAAAAAATAGAGTGAAACTGACTAAGTTAGTTTCAGGGTAGGTGGGATCCTAAAGTTGCACAGATATTCAAGTCCTTTTTTTTCCCCAAAGGGGGGGAGTATAGATTTCAAGATCCCTCAATGGCTTGGGTAAAGCATAAACGTGAATAGTATAAATTATCATGCATATTCATATATATATATATTTCATTTCTATCAATGTATCATTTCAAATCTTATTTTCATATTTTTACTTTTAGAAACAGTACTCTTAGAACAGTCATCATAATTGCAATACCAAAATGATTCCCTAAACTATAAATTATTTTTTCAGTGCTCATAATAAGGATAGGGGAACTACATCATTTAAACAGTTATTTAATATTACTGCACAGGAACAAATGCATCAATATGTATTTAAAGTCTTAATTACAAGAGAAACTGTTATTCCCTTTTCAAATGAACTCTACTTATTTTTTCCTAAACATCGTAAACAAAGTAATGGGATTTTTGTTTGGAAATTAAATAAACAAACATCAAGAGAGAAGCACACTGTAGCTAGCCTCCTGCTGTTCCTACCTTTAGCACACATAAACCTGATTAAGTCCTTTTGTCCGAGTCTTGCTGGCTCCAGGTCTGTTAGATCGGTGGAAAAGAGCAGACTAAGAAAGAGACAGATGCAAAGTGGAGATGATGTTAGAGAGGAATGAGATACCTTCCCTATACACAGATCTGCAAACGCACTCACTCCCTGTCTGTGTGTTAGAATAAAAGGCTGAGGGATGGCAGGCTGTCAGCTGCTCTGACATCATGTTCAGATGGAAATGTTACCTCCAGCTGTGCTCCTTTTAATGCCATATGCTACTCCTCTACACTCCTTCCACCAGCTTTTTCTTAGGAGAACTTTTCTTGTCTGTTAGTATAAACAAAATACTTCAAAGACTCTTTTTTCAAAACTTTCTAACAGAGAAAAGAAAAAAACCTTAGACATATGGGGCTTCATCTCATGTACAGTATAGAAACCCTTCTGTCATAACTTTGGAGGGGTTTTTTTATACTAAGAACTTACCCATCCATTTTTTACTGAACCCAGAGGTTCATTTTAAGCAATTCATTTTACCCAACGTATTTATCTTGATACAGTTCATCTTTTCTATTAATTTAGAAAGAACAGACTAGAAAAACTTTATATAAATATCAATGCAATTGTACGTTAACTCATTTTACTCAATGATGTAATAATTGCTTATATTTTTATGTAGCATAAGGAGCACTTTTCTGGGCACTTATAAGTCATCTATATGCTCAATTTGCTCTATAGATCATACTACTGCAAATACTACAAGGACAGAAATAATAGTAATATTCCTCTCCTAGTAATAAATTTGTAAAAAGTGCAGTTATTTAAAAGAGTGTTATCATATAAGGCCTATTTTATCTGTGGCATGAAACTGAATACTAAGTTTGCTATTCATTACTAAAGCAATAATAGTATCACGTACTTTAAAATTATTACCATTTTTATTCCGTATGCATATATTAAACCTATTTTGAGAATGGAAAAAAATGTAATGACCTCCCTTAACTTCACAGGAAAATGCTGTGACTAATCGGGAAATAAGCTAAAATGAAACAAGCTGTTCATCCCAGCAGAATGGACAAGTATCAAGCTTGCCAGTCTTAGGCCACAGACTATGTTTAATTAACAAAGTTTTCTGCACCATTTACTCATAACTCTCCCCCGCCACATCTCATTTTACTATGGTAGCTGGTTAACTCAAGCAATTTCTCTTTTGCCACTGTTCTTAACAGAATTTTACAAATAAGTTCTGGGTGAATATGAGACAAACACAGCATGGTAGATGACCCAATTGTGATTTTTTTCACCCTTTATAAAGAGTGAAACCAACTTGAAGATTAAGTCAGCTATAACTTCATTTAACTCCTGACATATTGGAAAGTATTTTAAGATTAAGCAAGTAAATACACAGAAGGGGAAGGCAGCACAGACAGGAAAGAAAGAAGCAGGCAATACAGGAATAGGTGTCAATGGAACAACAAAAGGAAAATAAGGAGAAGAGCTGAACACAAGTGATCTGGGAGGGAGCAAATATCTCTCCTCACATCCACCCTGCCTTGTCTCCACAGCTGCCCTGCTCTCCACATCACCTACCCCTTCTGACCTTTTGAGCTGTGAGACAAAACACACACTGCATAGCCTCTGCCACACACAAAGGACTCCCTCTCTGCTCCCCCATCTGCTCCCAAGCTCAGCCCAATCCCCCAGTAACCCCCCCTCCATCTCCCATCCTGCAAGTGCGGCTGTAAACTCTGAACCTTGCAAACTTGCTCGGAGCTGCTCCTTATTCTCCTGCAGTTACAAAATCTGCTCTGAAGCTTACTCTCTCCTCTCCTGTTATGAAAGCCCCGTCCAGGATACACACCTAAGTCCACTTGAGGCTTACCATCCAAAACAAGCTCCTCGCTTCTCTAGCCCAGACCCTCCTCTACCTGTCCCCATCGGTCTTTACGGAGCTCGTTCCAAAAAAAACGAGGCTATGTCTCTTCCTCCCCCACCCCTTCGCATCCCATCGATCCCCTCCTTTTCTCCACCTGTTAAACCCTCCCCTCCCCCTCCCCCCAGATCAGCTCACTTTAAGCGGCTCTTTAGGGTGACTCGAGGCATCCTTCTCTCTTCCTGCCGTCTATCTGAACGCCCTGTCCTCAGTGCCGCTTGCCCCAAAGCTGCCAGCTGTCCCATAACAACCTCAACCCTCGCCCCCCCAACCCTAGCACAACAAGCAACCTGCGGCTCTTACTCCTTCCTTAGCAACACGGGACGGCTTCCGCGCACCCGGCCGCTCCTCTCCACCCAGTCCCCGCGGGGTCAGCCTCGGGACTCACACTCTGGAGCGGCCCCAGGTCCCAGCCGCGTTCCTCCCTGAGCCGCTTCCTCCTCCTTCGGCCGCCACCGCCCCCTCCACCGCTGCGGGCGCCCCGTCTCCCCGCCTGGCGTCCCGCTCGTTTCCCCCTCCCAAGTCCACGAGTGAGTGAGGGGCCACCAAGCGGGGCAACGCGAGCGGGGCAGTGGGAGAGGAAGGCAGGGGAGGGAGCGAGGGGGCTCCCCGCGCTGTCTCAGCGGCGCCCCATGGCAGCGCCCCGGAGGATCCCGGGCCGGCGGAGCGGGAGGGAGGGAGGGAGGGAGAGGGGGCGGGGAGTCAGGCGCACACAGCGCAGGAGCACGCGCGGCGGCGGCACAGACGGGCCCGGGCTGCGGCAGCCAGATGTTTCCTTCACTCCCCTCCCTCTTCCCTTCCTTCCCCGAGCAGTTTCCCTGACTGACAGCGCAGCTGGCTCACGGTGCTGCTTCGTCCAATCAGCAAGGAAAGAAGTCGCTGATCGACAATCGAAGTCCGCCCAATGGCAAGAGAAGGAAGCGAAGAGAACTCACCGTTGTGGCTAATCAGCGTTTCGGGGTGGGCTTACTGACTCCACAGGCGTGTTGCTGATGATTGAGAAAGGGGCGGGGTTTTGTAGTCCCGGGTCAGTCCGCGCGTCCTTCGCGCTTCTTCACTGCAGTCTCCTCGGCCTCAGGAGGAGCGGGCCTCAGGCGGGCTTGTCTCTTCCTCCCTGGGCGCAGTGCATGGTGGGGAATAATGGCTATGGGTCTCTGGTGGGATAGGCTGAGGGTTACACCACTGAAAGGCGAGGCCTGCCTGAGCTTGGAGATTTGGTGGCGGTTCCGTAGCGCTTGCTGTTGCTGGGCTACTCATCGCGAGGGCTCCGCCGCCAGATGTGCCCGCTCATTTTTTTTTTCAAAACAGCGGAGGAACCCACCCCCCATAACTTGACGAGTTTTTCTTCTGCCGAACGGGTTTTTTAGTTGCTTTTCTGCCATTTAACTTCTACTCACTTTTTAAGGGTTCAACGGACTTCTTATTGTACTGCCTTTGTGCTGCACGGAACTCGCGGTTTCTTCCCACCCTTTTTTATGACTGTTTAACAATTTGAGAATAAATTCTCATAAGCTTTACAGATCCACTTCTCTCGGAAAGGCAGAAATGCGAACGTTTAGCTTTTTCTCTCTCACACACACACAAAAAAAAAAAATACGAGGAAGTGCCTTATAATTGTCTTGCAGAGTTCTTAAAGGAGTAGAAGTCATTTTTATTTTGTAGTAAAATGTGTACGATTGTACTCTACATTTTACATCCCTTCATCGCTGCTCATTAAATAAATCCTAGCTAGGTAATATCTCCTGTCCTTCTGTCTTCTCCCCACCTCTCAACACGTAATTTTCCAGAATTAAAAATGGAATTGCAGCTGCTTCAAAAGTGTAATTTTATGAAAGGTCCAGATAATATTTCCCCTTTGTAACTTCTTACAGTGTTACAATTTTTTTCTTTGCCATTCACACACAAAATATGTTGAACGAGATCGAATAGCTGTAGACTGTATATTGTGATGGTGGTACTTAGGAGCTGTCCATCTGGAACAACCAAAGTCAAGGCTGTGGTGTGGTCATTTATATATTGCTGAAAAAGTGCTTTAAAATGATAAATGAAGATGTTAATCTGAGTATAATTAGCATGTTTGTTTACATGTAGAAATGAAAATTGACTATTTGAAGTCAGATAAATCGTAATACAACTTAATGTAATGCTAAAGGCTTTGTCTTTGCTGCTGCCAGATGCTAATTGTCAGTGGGCAGTAGTATCTTAAAATACTCAGCTAGATGGCAGCACTTGGCTGATTGGGAAAAGCTGAGCAGGGACAATCCTGTTTAACGTTTGGATGGGAAACCACTAGGAAGTGGCAGGGAAGTGAGCTATATTGAGAAGTCAAAAAAAAAAAAAGGAGGGGGGAAGTAGGCAAACTGCTTTGATCAAGAAATTACTTGTATGTTTCCATGAAATCATTTGGAATTGAGATTGACTTGATGAAAACTTTGCTATCTTAACAATCTTGTTCTTACAAGTTAGCTTCATTTTAAGTTCTGACAGCAGCCTTCGAAATAGCTGTCTTTGAGTCATGCACAATACATGAATGGTCTTCCACACGGAATTAGCTTTGCCATGTAAAATTGGACTGGTGTTGAATATCTGAGAATTCACCTTCAGAGAACTGCTTATTAGCACCAAGTTCACTAGGAAACATCTTTTGAGCTGCCAACAATAAGGGCAGGAAACCTCAAAGTATAGGCGTTCTATTTATATGGGAGTCTGTCCATGAACAGCTATGTAACTAGTCAAGATGGGCAGCAAACAAATCTAAATAAATACAAAGATGACCTCTTTCCAGATCTGTCCTGGGTGTTTGGATGTCAAGTGGGATATAAGGGTAGTTATTTGACTTGGTCTTATCTCTGCTGAGTTGTGATCATAGCATATTTATAATGTCTGAAGAGTATCTATGATTGTTTTATCAGCCCATCTACCAGTAGCAAGTAGCATAATACCTTGGAGCTCTTCATGGAGGGAGATGTCAGAGTCAGCTTGTCTGAAAAATAAGGATTTGTTTTTCTTAATGGTAAGAGGAGAGCATTGTTTGAG